CCAGGCTGGGAAGCCATAGAGAGGAACCTGCAAAGCACCATTTTCCTTCAGGATGCCTGAGGACGATGTTTGGAGAGAGGGAACCAAGCTCTCCCAGCAAGGAAGCACCAGGGTGAGAACCTCACAGGTCTCAAACCTGGGCTCTCCCCCGCAGGACTTGCTGAACAGAGCAGAATTACCTCCTGCTTCTCAGGAGTGATGGAAAACACACCACTGCTGCCTCAGTCCTCTCTGAATAGGCACCGGTATGCAAAAAAACTGATTTAAAAGCAACTTCTCAGAGGTACTGATTTCAAAACATTTTCTTATCACCGTTATGCAAAAAGGCATCACTTGTAGACTCATCACAAAACTTCTGCCTCGTAGGTGCTTTCGGCTGTTAGTGCTGGAAACCCTGGGACCAAGCCACCTCCAGCAGCTGAGATTCACCCAGTGCTATTCCTATTCCTTTTATTTCTTTTTCTTAATTTTCAAGGCTTTTAACAGAGCTGCAACATTTCTCTCTATGCTCACAGCAGCGCAGGGAGGTCCAGGCTGGCGGATTATTGACTTTGCCCTACACATGACCTTGAAGCTGAGGAAGGTTAGTGCTACCGGCAGATGGGCTCCTCTTCTGCAAATCATGCTTTGCTCTCATTTGTCCCAATTCTCAGCCTGAGCTGCAATAGCAAAGAACAACTTGCTAAGGGATTGCTCCTTTCCTACCACACTCGGTTGCTCCCAGTCTCAGGCAGTTCCTATCAACTGACTGTAACCTACTCAGGGTGTTTTGCAAAAGGCACTTGGTGAAATTCATTCTGAGGATTCCTCAGTGCTTTTTACTGCCCAAACTACACGTGTGATACAGCCAGGTGAAGGTTTAACTTTCAGAGGGTCACGGTAAGAGCTGTCATGGGAGTGGAATTTCCATTTTGTCAAAAGTTCTGATTTTCAGCACGGTACAAAAAGAAAAATTGTGAGCTTTCCCACAAAATGAAATTTGTGGGGTTTAATTTGGGTAGGTAGAAACATTTATACATTTTGGCTCTGTTTTGGGAGGCTAGTCAGACTATATAAATAGAAATGAATTTAAAAATGAAAAGAAGGTATTCTGAGCAACAACAGCATAAGCCTAAACTGACTTTTTCTAAATGATGTTGTGGAGTAATTTAACTTTTACTTGAAATCCTTTTTTCCAAACTCTACAAAACATCACAAAAAAATCCCTGTTTCCATGCAAAGTGTCTGTTCCAAGATTACAACCCCATGCAATATTAAACCAGAAACTCTGCTATGACAATTCTGTTCCATAGATCCACTACGCTACCTCATTAAAATGCATACACCACCTACAAAACAGCATTTCCCGAAGGACAAACACTCTTCCAGGAGAGTTTCAACCTGTTCCTGTCAACTATCAGTCGGTCCAGAGAAACCAGATGCTTTTTCTTGTTTTGTTGATGTTTCTAACTGACGCTGGGAGTCTGTGCTAATACTTGGGGAGGCCAAGGGAGCACTCACGCAGCACCACTCCTGCTACCAGCCACATCCAGGGCACCAACGCAAATGGCTCCGGTTTTCAGTTTTCCATAATTTCTCTGCTACAGGGTAGAGACCAAAAATGCAATCATGCTAACAAGGGCTTGCTCCATTCAGAGCCCTCACTGCAAACCACATCTTGGCAATGATGCCAGCACATCATGATGACCTGCCTCTGAGACGTCACCCTCTGCAATGCAAGACCGGAGCTTCGTCTGTACTGGAATTTTGCATGGGTCAAATTAAGCACATAGTGAAATCAGGGCACATCCCCATTGCAAATGAAATGAAATAGCTTGGATGCAACAGCCCTTCAGAGCTTCATCTCCATCTGTTTTTATGACCTGGGTAAAATAGATGCTTTAATAACTGGAAGATGTTCAGCTATTTACATGAGAGATGAATGCAGACCTGCACGGATGTTTGGTTGGCTGCTCATTTATTCACCCAAACGAGTAAATAATATCAAAGCTACCTGCTGCACAGTGAACACTTTCAAACAACGATGCATGCCAACATGTTTGGAGACATGAGAATGTTCAGAGTTTTCCTTTGGAAATCCGCTTCCTATAATGAATGCACATAGGGGTGTGTGTTTCTGTTCGAACCACAGTATTTTCCCCATTTGCAGTATTAGGGAAAGTTGTTTTGAGCTGAAACAAATCTACTTTTTCTCTGCTGGGTAAAAGATGAAAATATAACTTTTCACACAGCCCTTTCCCTCCTAGACTCATAAACCACGAAGTCTGGAAGACAGTCGGGTTAATGACCCCTGGGGCTGTGCAGAAAGGAGGGCTGGGAGCCCGCGGCTGCGTGGATGGACATTACAGCACATGGCTGTGCCTGGCACCCACATCCCACCGAGGGGTGTTCATGTCACCAGCCAGCCTGTCCTCCTGAGACGCCTTGTGCCAAGCAGGGAAAAAAAAAAAAGAAAAAAGAAAAAAAGAAAAAAATTATGACCCTCTTCCAAACTCCCCTGTTTTCCAAATGTTCCAGCCTTCAGTCTCTGTCTCACCACACCTCTCCCTCCCCTCACCCCTCCCAGAAGCAATGATGGGTTTTGTGCTTTCTCTCAGGCAGCAAGAAAGCCCGAAGCAAGACACGTATCCATCTGCTGTGGAGACTCTGAACAGCAAGAGACCAAGTGACTGGTTTCTTTTTAAATTGTACAGGTGGGAGCCTCCTCTCAGCATCACCCCAGCTCTCCTCCTAAAGCTGCCTTGATATTCAACAAACACTCGCTTTTTAAACAATCCCATCCTAAATCCTTATTGTAATGCCCAGAACCACTTGCAGGCTTTCTGAAACTCATTTTTATAATTATAATAAAGAACCGTACAACTCTCTGCTTTGTGCCAGAAATACACGTACACTGAATTGTTTGTAGAGGAGCCACAGAGAGAAAGAGCGAGGAAGAAACGCTGCCTCAGTGCCGCTCAATTCAGGAGCAGGAACTCCCACCCCATTTAATTTTTCTGCTCTCATTTTCCAATATAACTTGTAGCTGCTGAAATCCAGGTGAATATTTGCTTTGTCCTCTGTGCTCTCCTTTGGCTTCAATCCAGGGAACCTCGAGCTGTGCCCTTGTTCCCTATACGCCCTCCTCAGCTCCAGCAGCCCCTTCCCCTGGGCAGGCAGCAGTTCTGCTGGCAAGATGCAGCGCTTGCAGGTGCAAAACAAAGTCCCTGGGCAAGTAAACACAGAGTCAAGCTTAGTTTTATTAAAGCTTCATCTCACGGGTCACAAAAAACCCCAGAGAGGGCTGTGGGGGTTTTTGGTAGTGTTATCCCAATGTACCACTGACGCAGCACACAGAGAGGGAACTGTGGCTCAGCTTTTGCCAGCACAAGCCCTGGAACTAGCTCCCCATCTTTTGCAAATAGTGTTTGATGTCGATCTCACTTATCACTGGCTTCCACGGACGTGTCGCTGACTGGTGCTTGGAAAAGTGAGATGGATCAGGCCCTCTCTTCTGAATAAATATCAGATCTGATTCACCACTCAATTGCTTCTATTTTACCTCTGTAGAACGTCATTGATTATGGAAGGATTTGCAAGTTTTAAACTAGACTAATTCAGTGATTAATCCCAACCAAAGCCTTCTGTAAATAGAGAGCAATACTCCAGCAGTGTTCAATATTCGACACATCAGCAGAGTGCTCTGTAATATGATTCAATGGCATTTAGACTTGCCTTCCCTTTATTCAGGGCAGTGCTAGAATACGTTTAGTTTAGCTAACCCAGACTTTTCTCCTCTCTTCTCCCTGCAAAATGTCAGGCACATTCTCAGGGAAACAAAGGCAGAAGTTTCCCATGCAGTGACCATCCTGTCCATTGTAGCAGCTGAACCCTGGGATGGGCTGCCCACACGTGATGAGATGCCCAGCAGGACCAGAGGCTGCCACAGCATGATGTGGGGAAGGAAGAGGGACTCTGAGCCTCATTGCTGGGTCTGAATGTATCTAAAGTCCATTTCAAACCATGGGCTGGAGGCTCCTACAGCACCTTCCAAGAGTGAATTAAGGCTGGTCCAGAGTGGAAAAGCTTATTCTAGAAGTGTCTGGCTGCAAACATCAACACTTGTAAACACTTTGCTCAGGCTCAGTCCTGCTCATATAGGACAGTCCCACACATTGTATCCACAAACACTGGATGAGGAGAAGCAGCTGGAGCAAAGAAATACCTTGAGTTTAAAGGTGTTAAGCATTTGTATGTCTTCTTCTGGTCCCACTGATCTTTGGATCCCGCAAGAAAACCACAAATTACTCTCTCAAATGCTATATAATCTGGATATAAATAAGAGTTCCAGGCGGTGGAAATATTTGGGCATTCAAATACTTGGTCTTGGTCTAAAGCAAACTGAAATAAACATGTTGGGGAAATTTCCCACCAGCAACAACCTCCCCCAACACTGATGACAACTGCTCAGCTTCACTCTGTAGTTGCCAGGTGGTCTGTGACTGTAGGGCACCCCCATTTCCCTCTGCAGGGTTTTTCCCCTGAGTCATGGTGCCTAAGGAGGTAGACCCAAGACTTTTAGGATCCAAATTTTGTTTCTGTTTTCTACCCTTTTCAGAGCCAAGAATCCTGTACTTTTGCTCTCCCCTGGAGATCCAGGGGTCCACAAAAAAGCAACAGACCCTGAAGTTCCACTAGGTAAACGGCCCCAGGACCCAAATCCAGTTTCAGGGGCAGATAAACAATGATAAGAGCAGTCCATATCTATTCACCAACCCACCAGACTGGCGTGGATTGCTGGACCAGCTTTGGTTGACAGCTACAGACAAACACGTTGCGCCAGTATGTGCAGCTCTTCTAGCTGTTGTCACTCCTTAGCTTGCAAGTTCCCTCGAGAAAGGGTGACCATCAAGGCAGGTATTTCTGTAGTGCTTTTACAGTGCCTCCATCCACTTCCTCCAACTCTGAACAGCCACAGAAGGACCAACTTCTGAGCACCAGCCATCAGCTATGGCCAGGATGGAGACAGGACAGAAGAAAGAATCTCTCTTTCTCTTCACATGAGCTTTACCTCCTCGTGATTCCACTTTTTGCCTTCTAGCAGGACTCCAGTGAGCTGCCTCCAGAATATGTGCCTGCTGATTTCCTTGTTTTTCCACTCCAGATAGGTGTTCCTCCTCAGGTATCGGGACAGCCCCAGCTTCCGCCTCAGCAAGTCCTTATTTACTTCTTCTAATACAATCATGATGATTCCAGCCTTTCCTTCAACAAGCTGCCAGGACTGGGCAATGTCAAACTCAAAGCTACACCATTTGCTCTCCAGAAAGTTAGTAGAGATGACTGCAATGACATTTCTGCTACTCAGAAAACCTTCTTGAATGATATTGGTGACAATGGGTACCCCTGGTAGGAAATCCCTGTAGTAAAGACAAAGCTGGAAGGGAGGTGTTCCTCTTTCTAAGGGTTCCACCAGCTCTTTTATCACCCATTCTTGGTCTTTGCTGGAGTGGATAACAAATGCATCATAGGTGTCACCCCTTTCTGCAGAGTGTTTACACCCACTGAGCAGCACCAAGGAGTAGTATAGCTGGAAGTAGTACTTGTAAATCAGGAAAAGGAACACCGTTGCAGCGGGCAACATGATCACTAAGAATGTCACTGTGGTTGCACTGAGTTGGCAGGAGGACAGATCAAAGCTTAACAAGCTCATGTTCTTCGTGTATGCAGGCGTATGGCATATCATCGACTCCTCGTTCTGCAGCAGCTCCTGCTTTTCCTTGATCCATTTCAGAAAGTTCAGGTGTACACAAGAGCATTCAAACAGGTTTTGAGAGATATCTAGCAGGACCAGACTATTAGGCAGGATTTCCAGGGCTGAGTCCAAAAGAACACTGAGCTGGTTGTGGCTGAAATCCAGGGCTGTGAGGGCTTGGAGCGGCTTGTAGACCACAGGATCAAAGCTCAGCAGCTTATTGTTGCTGATGTTCAGCTCTTTTAGTTCAGAGAGAGCATCAAATGTACTTTGATCCACCTGTACTAATTTGCAACTTGAAATATCCAAGGTGTGGAGGTGAGTTAGGTTTTTGAAGTTGTTGGCCAATTTGTTGTTCTGAAAGGAGTTGCCTGCCATCTTGAGCACTCGCAAAGAGTTTAAGCCACAAAACGTACACTGGGACTTAACATGAGTTCTGGTATTGGAAATATCAAGGTAAATGAGTTTCTGAAGGGATAGAAAGACAGGGTAGGAGCCAGGACCAAATAACTTTGTGTGCTGAAGGTCCAAATATAACAAATTCTTCATGTTAGTGAAATCCCCAGTCACACTGATGTCAGAATTGAAGCTTAGGTTCAAGTGTTTCAAATTTGGACACTTGCGAAACTGAGGGGAACAGCAACCAGTGAAGGAGAGACGATTCTCACTGAAATCAATGACCTCCAAGTTACTTAGACTCTCAAATTTCTGCCTGAAGCTATTGAGGTGTTTGCTCTGGGTAATACGAAGCACTCTCAGCTCTTTGAAAAGAGACAGCTTCACAGCCGGCACTTCCTTAAACTTGCATTTCTTGCACTCCAGATGTTTCACTTGGGAGAACATAGGAACCTCTGACACTTCTTCAAGATGGAGGTCCACCAGCCGAATACTGGAGACATTGCCTATGCAGTTAAAAAGAGTGTCTGTATCATCCTCAAACCCCCTGAAGCAGATTAAGACAAACTCTTGCATTTGTACCTGACACAGTCCACTCAAGAGTCCCCTCTGAAAGTCTACCAGTCTCTGCCTGTCACTGAATTCTCCAACTATTAGTCTGTTGACCTGTAAACCAGTCAGGCCTTGAAGGGAAGTCTGCATCACACTGAAGTTCTCAAAAGAGGACCTTAGAACCAGCTCAGCAAGGTGAATCTTTGCAAAGGACCCTGGTTGTATGTACTTTATATTATTTAAAGAAAGCACCAGTGTGAGGTTGAGCCTGTTTGCTTCCCTCAGGGCATCAAGGTCTCCTTTGGAGATATGTGTGATCTTGTTAGAGAGAAAGCTCAGGTGCCTGAGAGAGGTCAGGTTGGTGAAATACTTGGGAAGCTTCAATGAAGCAATGTTGTTGTTGCCCAAGTTCAGCTCCTGCAGGGTATGCAAGTGTCCAATGGGTAGGTCAGTCAGAGAGGCTATGTTGGTTTCCACCAAGACTAGTTTTTTCAGAGATGTTAAGCCATAGAAGGCTGCTGTCCCCAGGTACTGGAGGGAATTGGCAGTTAAAATTAAGGTGGAAAGTTTATGAAGATCCTGAAAAGAGTTATCTTCTATTGTATGGATGTGGCACCTGTTGGACAGGAAAAGAGAATAAATGTGCATGAAACACTGTCCCTTTCATTCCATGTTCACTAACTCCACTGCACTAAGCGCTGGTGCAATGTTCTCAGGCTCAACCTCACGCTGGGGGTTGGTTTGGCTTTACTGTTCTGGGCAGAGCCAGAACTCCTGGATGTGCAAAGAGAACTCATCCATAGCAGGAGACCTTCCCTCACCTCCTCCTCCCTCTCTAAATCTGAAGTTCAATTGGAAAGCAAGAGATCTTGAGCCACCATGAAAGTCAAAAATTCAGGCAGGCAGCAGGAAAGCAGCATTTTAGCTGTTTAGGCCAAAGTACCATCAAAATGCCCATCACTGACAGCAGATACAGCACTCCTTACAGCTTGCACCCTCCCAGCCTTCAGACTGTCACCTCAGCCACATCTGGGCAGTCCCACTGGCACCAGCAAGATCCAGCAGTGGTAAAGCTCCCAACTCTGTCAGCAGTTTTGCTGATGATAGCTGAGAAGGAACAGACCCCGTGCCATGTGGGCTCCAAAGGAGAAGAGGAAGAGAGGAAAAAGAGGGTGGCCACCTAAAGATCGTTTCACATGGGAAGATAAAAAATTCAAGACCCAAATCCATTCCATAATGAATTCAAGCAAAATCAACATCATAATCCAGCTGGTGACTTACAGCAAACCTCCTTTGCCACTCAGCCACTTCAGAGCTGTAACTGTGATGGGACTGAGTGACATTTTTCAGTGAAACAATTTACCGAGAGAAACTGTTGTCTCAAGTCAGTGGAAATTATACATCAATTCAAATTTGCTAATAAGCCTCCCCCATCTCCTCCCCCAGATATGTGAGGAGAAAGGAAAAGAGAATATGTTGATATTTTAAAACAGCCTTTTAGAAAATGATTGTACTTTTTTTTTTTTTTTTTTTTTAAAACTGTGATAGAAAAACAGCTCATCCAAGATATTCCACCTCGGAGTTTTGTAACAGTAAAAAGTCTGACATTTTCCTTGTTCAGAGAGAACTAAAACATCTTCCTCCTCCTTCCCACATCCCAACCTACAAGATCAGACTGACAGACCCAGCTCTGCACAGAGGGTGTGCACTCAGTAACTGGACTAAAAGCTGCTCATCACTTGGCCATGAGGACATGCAGAGAGACAGACACAGGGATAAAGTCACAAGGAAAAAAAAAAAAATGAACAGCAAAGACCAACAGCTCCCAAAATATGCACCCACAGCGGCCCAGCTGGTGAAGCAAGATTAACCAGTATCCACATCAAAGAGCTCATTACCTTGTAAGATCCAGAAGGTGCAGTTCAGGGACTGATGAAAAATAATTGGATCCCAGTGATTTCAGATTGTTGAAACTGAGATCCAAGCTCTGGGTGGTATTTGGGACTTCAGGGGGAACTCCAGAGGTGTCCAGTCCCACGCATCTGAAAGCTTTGTCAGGGACGACCTGTAAGAGTGGCAAATCCAATCATGGTCAACATCTGCTCTTCATCAAGTGCCAAAAAATGACACTGTCAGGAAAGCAGGAGCAGAATTACTAACCTTGCAGTTAATTTCTAAATGAGCTGCCCTGAGTTTTAGGAAATATTTGTATATATCCTAAGCATCTTTCTCGCTTCTAATAGAACCAGTCCTGCTCCCCAGGAAGAGCTACATTTCTCGATAATTGAAGCAGGTGCAGAACTACAGGGCAGTGTTCCTTGAGGCTACGGATGAACTGGCAGCAACCTTTGAGAGAGCCAGCAAAACAAACACGCGGGGATGCACTGTGTGTCCAGGATCAGCTCTCAGCTTTTGTACATTACAGACAAGCAGGCAGTTCTAACCAAAGCTATTCTGTAAGCAACAATTGTCAGCAAAAGTTTTCAAAAGGCATTTAACCAGTGCCAAGTACTTGGGGTACTGGTGAAAACACTCTACGGTGTAAATCAGGAAAAAATACTATATTTTGCAGAAATTATTGACAAGCTTGGATCTCTTCACAAAGGGAAACATAATCTGCTAGATTAACTGTGCTGCAGTAACCTCAGAGGTACATAAAGCCAACAAGAAGAAGTGGTTCATGCTTCTGGTTCTGGTTCTCAGATGTTTTTGAGACCAGCATTTACTCGAAAGACTTCAATTGCCTTGGTAACAGCCTTGGAAAAAAGATGGGCTTTTGTAAGACAACTAAAAGACAACAGACCTGATGCACAAATCTCCCAAGCAGAGGGAAAAGTTGCACCAGAGAAATAGAAGGATTTTGTGCTCGTTTATAGATCACGTACCTCCAAACAGGGATTGAGGAGGCAGCCTGCCAGCTGTGATGGGACAAGCGCCAGCTGCAGCAGCACCACAAGTGTCCGTGGGGTAAGCAGGTCCCTCCTGGGCATCTTCTGGAGGCCAGGCATGCAGGAGAAAGCAGAATGGGTATCACTCAAGGACCTGGAGCGAGAAACCTTCTGAAATGCCAAGTGTTGTGTTTCACCACGCCTGCTTCTCACTGCACATCACCGAGAGTTGCAAACAACAAAGAGGGAAGTGAAACTGGTAGCTGCCTGGTTTCTAGACGTGCTCTGAGTGAATTGTTCTTCTTGCAATTGTTTTTAAAAATTTGTTTAAAAAAAAAAACAAGAAAAAAGGAAGTAATGAAAGGTATAGTTTGGACTAGAAATTAAAGAGGACTATGGGTTGTATCAGTGTGTCACTTGACTTGATTGCCTCAGACTAGCTCAAGTCAAATTGGCAAAAAAAGGGAAGCTTCTGTGAAATTCTGAGTCCAATTTCTGGAAGGTTGTGCTTCACATCCAATAATTCAAATGCACTGGATAGAGCAAATGCCTTTGTACCTCTGCCATGCTCCCAGCTACACCACACTGGCAAGTACTGGAGAAAGGCTCAGCTGTGGCAGACGCTTTCCTGAGCCAGGTAAAACCAGGTTTATCTATGACAAAGCTCTTACAAACACTCACCTAGGATTTATCCACCTGGCCAGACCTCAGGACTGCAATTATCGAAGGAACAAGCTGCCCATGGCCAGGCACAAGGAGTAAACATGGGTGAGTCACAGAGCAGCAAGATCCCAGGACCTTACACTCCTCTGCACCCTTCCCTTGGGCAGGAGTTTCCTGAGAGAGGCACAAACACCCCAGCTGGGCTTATAGCTGCTATCTGCCCTGGTCATGCCTGAATCTGTTTGATGCTTTGCTACAAAAGTGAGCACATCTCAATACCCTCCTTAATTTACAGTGCAGACACGGCTATTGTTTCTGGAACAGGCTTTGTAAAACCTCACAGTTCACAATATTAATTTAAATCAGCTGTGAGCCTTCGAATAAAGCTCCTTGCCTTCATTTACTCTGATAAATGGTAGTGCATTCACATATCTACTCCTGTCTTTCTGTAGATAACTCAGAAGTGTTACTGGGGATCCAGCCATAGCGTTGCTGGGTATTATTAAAACAACACAGAGAAGCTGCAAAAATGCAAGATGAGGATGGGATACTAGTCTAGAAGTAGATGGAATGGGAAGTGACTACTCATTAAAGTCTGTGAAAATTAATATTAAATATAAGCTGCAACATTGGGACAGTGAGCAATCCACTTCTAATGAAAAGTTTAAAATATGTGGAGGCAGGGATTGGACTTCTTTAGCAGGTCAGTAGAGAGATGGGGAAATCCTAAAATAACAGATGATCTCTGCGATGAAAAACACATGGCAGCACAATGGGAGCTAAAACCGACACCCTGATGTGCAGCCAGATAGCGCCCATTAAGCCAGCAGACAAAAAATTTGTTGAAATTGGGCAAGTTCTACAAAATCCCTGTTCTGAAAAGCCTCTCATGATTGCAGGTATTTCCTTTTACAGATGGAATCAAAAGTGAATGGAAACAATTGCTGACTGCTTCAGTGCCTGGATTAAGGAAATTGGCAGAGCATCATGTGTCTGCAGAGAGGACAAATGAGTGCATCTTTTAGTATTCAATATGCAGAATGAAGCAATCCACATTTAATTTTTATCTAAAGCTGAGATGAGCCTGAAGTATGCTCTAGAAATTACCATTTCAATGGAAAGTCACTGAAGATGCTGGAGAGTTTGGGAGCATCACAAAATCCATCTGACAGCCATGCTTAGGGGTCAAGTGGAAAGTACAGCTTGAAGGACATTCAAGGAACGTGCTGCTTCCATCACAAGGGACAGTTTCACAGTACACATTGTCATCTGTTCAAGGACAAATCATATAGAAACTGTAAGAGATGGGGCACCAGCAGAAAACATGCAAGCTAGCAAATCAAACCTAGCCAGCAGTTTAGAAAGTCAATGCTGGTTAACTTCATATTCTTCAGCTTGCATACAACAATGTGCAATGACTGTAGAAAGCCATAATGTCTATATAATTGCCTCTTTCAGTTCACAAGAAACAAAAGTATTATTTGGAATTCTTTAAAGTGACAAGAATAACATCTCAGATGAAACATGATTCACTCTACTGGCAATTCACTGGTGGGATCATCAAAGATCTCTTAGAAAGGAGGTGTTACAGAAAATCTGTGTTTCTAAAAACACATGCCCAAGTAAGCTTTGTTCGCCTGAACATCATTATAATATCAGGAACACAACAGCAGACAGCATATACTCAACCTCTGTGATCTCAAGCTAGGTATTACACAGCATAAGATGGCCACAATGTAGCTGGACTGACAAAACATTTTGTACTTGCTTATATTAAAATAAAATAATCTGTGAACTCCAGCAAAAAAGAAAAGTTAGCTAAACTCTTGAACAAAACAAGTAGTGATAGTCATGAAAACAGATAGAGCTGTCTGTACCTATGGTGATTTCAAGGTCACAGCTAACCCAGTATCACATGTAGATCAACAGCTATCACCCAGAAGAGAGGATATATTTGCTTCAGTAATCATCCTAAGCAGTTCCCCAAGTCTATCTGCAAACGGAGGCTGAGGAACATGGCAAAAACTATCTCAAGATTAAACAAACCAGGACTTACTTTAAGTGAGAGGCTCTTCCGTAACAACTATTTGATTGCAAATCATGGATCAGATGGGAGAGAATGTTCCTGAGATGCTGGCACTTACACACCCCAGTATTTGTGGAGCTAGAGATGGGAAACACCACAAGAACTTCCAAACGTACTTGAGAAGCTCAGGTATGTTGTCATGCTACCCCAGCTGATCCATTATTGCTCTCAGATGCAGCACTGGCCACGTCTGCCTTCCTAACTGGCACAGTATCAGCTCATACAACTCAGTGTAGCAGTCACCCACGGTGAATTAAGCTTAAATCACGTCACATTGCAGCTGGGGTCTAGGCTCAGGGTGTGTAGACAGCTACTGAGTCCTCAAGGTTCATCTGACACATCACCAGTCCTTATACTCAGTAAATCAGTCATCTGTCCAAGCCTGAAAGGTTTTCGGTGTGGATAGGAAAAGCAAAGGAAATTTCTGAAAAATTTAGCAGCAAATTGAATTCTCCCAGCCATTCTGCTGGAAAAAAACAATTTAGATAAATCATAAGGAAAAATGCAGAAAAAAAAAATCTGAAAATGTCTTTAAGATCTTTTTGCTGTGAACTCCACAAATACATTGCTACCTGGAACTGGTGAGTCACCACCTTGCACAGCAAGCCCTGGCTGACCTGGCAGACACTGGACAGACACAGTGCTGATCCACACGCACTCTGCACCAAAGCTGGTGAAAGGGCTGAGAAACTGGTATAATCAGAACAGGTCCTTACTAGAGAGCCTTGATGCCTGTATCTCACTTGTGATGCTTCCCCATATGAAGTGGGTGTAATAATCTCACACGTGATGGCAGATCAGCCTGGAAGACCTATCGCCTTTGCTCCTGGATCTCGTGCCTTTGAAGAAGAGAACAACATTCAGATTGAGAGAGAAACTCTGCGTTTAGTTTGGGGTGTCAGACAGCTTCGCTGCTGTCTGTCTGAGCAATGATTGACTCTAGTTACAGATCATTTAACTGCGAGTTTCAAAGCCAGGAGCATCAGTAATGCAGATTGCTTGTCATGCCTGTGACTGTAAGTGACAGGTAAGGACACGGAGGTGGAATCAAGACATAGTCTCTACACACTATATAGCACAGACCAAGCCCCAGCCCATTGCAAATGGTGTCACTTAAACCAGACAGAATCCAGCACAGCGAAGGTGTTTCCCATTGCAAAAAAGGACAGAAAAAAACCCCCAAAGCTACTGTGCAAGTTAGTTTGATGAAAAGCAGCCAAGCCTTCACTGAAGTAGGTAATGTGTGTCATCAGATGGCCTATTCCCCAAAGCCAAGGTCATACAAATACCCCAGAACTACTCAAAAGCTATTAGGGAAGAACTGTGCCAAGTAACCAGGGACAAATATACAACTAGAAGAAGTGATTAATCAGTGTCAAGACAGTCACTATCTGTGGCAGTTACTCCATATGGACTACGTCACGTCAGTTCAGAGCCCTACATTTTACTGAAGTCAATGTTTAATCTAAACGGTTGGAATGGTTTCATGCAGATGGTGGAGGCATCCAGCTTTGCTTGCCAAGCACTCATGGACAGGCAGGGAGTGACACTGGAGCTCCCTCGACCCCTGGAGAGAGGCAGGCTGGCACCAAACAGCCCAGCAACTCCCTGCCCTTCTGCCTTGGATGAGCCATGGTCACTCCTCGGCTGGCCACAGAGCCGGGGATTCGCTGTCACCATTGATGCAAGGATGTTCGCAGTGCCTCGGCATGAAATGCGCTGTGCTTAGGAGGAGTACAATCACCTTTCTGCAGTCCTGAGAAAGGCGGATTTACCACCTCAGACCGATGCTAGTTTTTGCTTCTGAAGCAACAATAGGACTCATTTCCCTTTTCTTTCCCCCTTCATTACATCCTCATTATGGTATCTCATAGCCTCATTTACATATCCTTTATATTACTGTGGCTTTGCCTTCTCCTGCTTATTCCACTGCCTTTTCCCCAGTTCTCTGGGTAGGAATGAGTCTGCTGTAGGGCAAGGATTTACTCAGACTATCAAACACAAAAGGTGTGTAGGGCATGGAGGGCTGCAGATCTCAGACTTTTTAAACTGGACACAAGAAAGGTTGATTTGGGGATTCAGTGCCACCACCAAAGCATGGTTAAATACTAAGTCCCTACCGCAGTGCTCCAACACTCTGGGAAAGAGGCAGCTCTAATGAATTGTGCTTACCTGTAGAGATTACAGAACCCTGTTTTGAGGGAAAACCAGCCAGCTCTTAAACATAAGAGTAAAAAACAGTATAGCAGACCTGCGTGCTCCAAGTACTGAGAGCACTGCCACAGGCAGTGACCGATGCCAAGACCCCTGAGCCTCATGTTTATGATTTCACTACCATGACTTGACACTACATGGCAGGAAAATGTTGCAACAACTGCAGCAGAAAGTGCAGACACAGCTCCTGCAAGCTGTGGCAAAGATCTTGT